TGAATAAGGAAGTTTGTTTTGGTGTAATGGATTATATGAGACTTATTTCTGGACAAGTGGGAGGAGCGGCTTTGCGCGGATATGCCCAAAGAAGACGAAGACAGGAGGGGAAGGAAATGAGAAGGGAAGAGGGAGGGCAGTAGGACAATTCTTTGTATAGGTAATGAGCAACATCCTGTACAGGTAACTAGCCTATCTAGAATGTGTAAATGCGACCCGCTACCAAGTACAGGTTAGGCATGTTACCTGTAATCTGATGTTTTCGTGTAGCTTGTCTGCTCAGCACGACTTGCATGTGGTCATACATTGAGTGACCGCCAGGCATTCGAAGAGCAGTACTAGTAGCTATAACCGCGGGAGGATGCAGCGACCTATACAAGTAATCAGCAGTGTCCTACATAAGTAACTAGCCGCTCTGGAATGTGTAAGTGCGACTCGCTGCCATGTACAGGTTAGAGCATATTACCTGTAATCTGATTTCTTCGTGCTGTTCGTCAGAGTTGCAGTAATTGATTGGGAACACGAAAAAATCAGATTACAGGTAACATGTAAACAGTGCTCGTGTAACGGCAACTGATACAAATAACCACCCAGTGTTGCTCGTGTAATGCTCGAGTAACGCACAATTCCCAACGGTGCCCGCCCACTTATACAGACAGCGACCGTTCCTAAATGCAGTACTTGAACATTCTCCACAGATTACTTGTATTGCTGAGCCGTTGTGTCAACAAGCTCAAGTAAGGACTTGTTTAGTGTACTGCGTGGTTGGAGGAGAATATCTTCTAGTGGCAAATCAATACATGTGATGAGGTCTGTTTTCACTGACTTAGGCAGGGGAGTTAAGGCACGGGGTCGAGCTTAAGCACTCCTTAGTGGTCTCACGAAAAGTACCGGAGGTGTTGGCGAGTTCCCAAACCGAGTGACTGAAGAAGCCGCATGTTTGAACAGCAATCGAAGGGAGAGTTGCAAGACCTCATGGGATTTTGAAATGTCCACTCAAATGACCTGTTACATGTGGCGAAGTGGTGTTGCCGTTCTTTCGGAACGGATCAAGAAGCAGAGAGGAGCAGCTGGCTATCCACCACCTGATGTAGCCCTGGGGAGATCACCAGATCACACCAACTGCCGAAGGGACACACCTGACCAACCGAAAACGCATAATAAGGGGGGCCAAGGTGCCCTAGATACCACCCGGAATTCTCTACAAGCCGACTGTAGCAACCAAGTTGACCCTGAAAGTCTAAGTGGCGAAGGCGCGATAGATTACGGCATGAACAATCTAAGAGAAAAGAGGGTAAGAGTGAGATAAGATGTTTCGGTTCATTAAGTCATATACACCTTAACTCAACACCGCGACAAGATCTCGTTGCGTATACTAGCAGCTGTCAGAGTTGCGCATACAAGGAGTGTAATGAACTGTGGCTTATGTTGAAGTTTAATAAATTCGCTAAATTATGTCTTTTTTTCTAAATCAAAGAACCGTTGAGTGAGTAATCTGTCAGATGTGCCGCTGAGCTAATAATCTCGACACGAGGCCAAGTGGGCGTCTAGAGCGCCAGCAGCACTGGTCAAAGCAATTGCAAAAATTGCCAGATACAGAGCTGAAGAGCCAGATCATAACTTTAAGTTTTTCCCCGAGAAACTTTCAAAGCAAATAATTGAAACAGCCGGGAAAATGTCCAACTTTTTTTTTAAAAAAAAAAAGCGCAGTCTGAGCTAGGCATAATTCATTTGGTTCCAATCATTTTCAACTTCCTTAGCTTTTTTTTTTTGATAGTGGAAAATCGACAAGAGCTATGAGAATGCGTTATCAAGAAGCTTCTTCAAGTTGGAAAAAAGCCAGCTGTGCACGATCTTGTTTATTAGATTCCAAGGCTCCCGCAAATGAAAAGTGGAAAGGCCTCAGTTGATGGCTCTTGAGCCTCGGCTCAGATTAAGTCTCGAATTCTGTCACTTCAAATTATTGCTGCTACAAAATAATAAATTAACTGCTACAAATAATAAACTAAAATTGTTGCTTTCATATACAAAATATTTGAATTAACCGAGG